TTCCCTTCTTGTATTCAAACAGCATTACATGTCGATTGAGTGTCTTGTTGTGTGCCATCACTATATGGGATTAGAGTATACTAAACTTTACACATTATATAGGCTACACTAACATGACGTTTAGGCAGTTCAGTTAATTATTATACGTGATGTATGTTTTTTGGGGGGTGGTTAATGAAAGTGTTCCAATACGTGACATTAATTTCTTGACGACCTAATACATTTGAAAGTATTATTTCTCAACATAATAACTGTATGTATTACTAATTAGTCTTAAAAACAGTTTCTAATGACAACAGACAGGTGGGTCTGACAGATTTTCAATGCAATAGGTATGATATTACCTACTTATTACTATATTATACGTGAGGTACATCTTTTGGGGGTTGGTTAATGAAAGTGTTTCAATACGTGACATTAATTTCTTGATGATCTAATACTATAGACTGGCATAGTCCACATTAATACACGGAGGGGTGGTGGTTTCATTTAAGACTTGTGGCATGCACAAAAACTTTTTGGCACTGATGCGAGGTAGAAGCTTTTTGTTATGCAGAGAGGTGAGTATTTCTGAATTGCTTTATTTTCTTCATATTATTCATCAGAAGATCAAAGTATGAAAAATGTTTTTCTGAAAGTTAAGAAGTTATCTGACACCTTTCATAAAAATATCTTTGTTTATCATTTATTGTCAGTTTTTTATCAAAAAAATTTACACATCTCTGGCCACAAACACTTAAAATTACAAACAATTTTATTTATAAAGTTTATTTAGACTCCAATAAATAACTGTCTCTGGTGTAATATTTTCTACTTACTTGATTAGGTGAGCCAGCTCCACATTTTCTGTAGTGGTTAGCAAAGTGATGGCTACTACTGCCTTCCACTAAGGTAAAAATACAAAAAACAAAAACAAAAAATGCTCCTAACAAATTCAGTTTTTATACATTTTATAATTTGAAAACTAATGCAAAAGCCTTTAATGATATAAAAAAATTACTTGCACCTACCTTACATCCACTATACGATTAGATTTTGTTTTTTTGCTAACATTTCATGTAAAGCTCCTTAAATCATCCCTACTTTAGAAGGGATACACAAAAAGGAAGGCAGCTAGTCAACACCACCCACCACCAACTCTTGGACTACCCTTTTGCCATCACAATATATTGCTAAGATGTTCAGTGACAGGATTCGAACTGGTGCCACACATATTGTGAGTTGAGCACCGTAACCACCAGGTCATGCATGTGATTATGTTTTTACATGACAAGAACACTAACAGAAAATCACTTGTACCTACCTTACATCCACAATATCATTAGGTGTTTCAAAACAGCACAGCATACACAAGAAAAATTTAGACACGATAAAAATGCTAACAATGAATAAATTCAAAGTTATCTCCATGATACAAATGCTAACAATGAATAAAATCAAAGTTATCTCCATGATACAAATGCTATACCAGCATTATCTCCACAATACCAATGTTATACAAGTGTTATCTCCACAATATGATTAAGTTTTAGTAACAGCCAAGCAGAAAATGATTTATAAAAAAAAATATATATACTTTTCAATCTGGTGATGATTAGAACTTCTATTATCCAATGACAATAAAAGAAAACTAGTGATGTTCATGTAATCTCCTAAACTACACTTATGCTGTTGAACTATGGTTCAAACTTATACTTTTGAAATAGCCTTAAACATTATTATTCAAGGATATTTTTTATCATAAAATTAAAACCACATCAATGAAAATCCTAAAATGATCAACACTTGGATAAAAGTGATGGAATTATTTTTCTGAACACTTCTTATCAATTTATGGTTATTAAAAGTTTATATCCCTAAAAATATGACAGCTGTTAGCTAAATATTGTGATATGCAGACATACCATATGTTTTCTAGCTGCTTTAGGTATACAGCAATTTGTAAAACCTTTTTATTTATTAAATCATTAACCCTTTCGCAATGGGAACCCCTTTAAACCCTTTTCTTTGCAAGTCACTGTGTTACATTCAAAATTTAATTAACTCTCTATATGGGCTCCATGAATTTGACCGATCACGTGACCTCTTTGTACTCGTTTAAAGTCTTTACAGGTTTAATACTTCTAACTTTTAATATAATGTGTATATCTTCATAAAATTTGGCAGTCTTTCACATACAAAAAAAATCTTATTTTTTTAGTGAAGTACTTTTAATAAACTAAAATAGACATTTGTCCACTGATACTTCAAGACCATCTAGTTTTTAGTTCTACAGAGATTAATCCTGAGAAAAAAAACTGTGGAGTTAAACACACTCAAGTAGAATTGATTGTGATTCTGTCTGCACAAGTACACACACTGTGTTTTCTGTTTGTTTGTTACAATAAAGAATTTGTTCATTTATTTACATTTTTTTCAGCCTCATTATTTTGTACTTAAAGGAACTAAATCAAACACAGAGCACTCTCCTTATTTTGTGATTGAATCAGCTGTTACTTGCAGGTTTACCTATCTGATACCTGTTGGGAAATCAGTTTAACCTGAAAATACCACAAAATTAACATGCTGGTTTATCTAGTGTGGAAATACACAATTTTATCATTATAGTGCCAATCTTTTAATACCAACATTAATACATAAAATCAGATATGTTCTGCAACTTAGGAAATAGTTCTTTCCAGAATTCTAACTAAATAATTACATAGAAATGAAGACCATTCATTGGTAAACCTAGCATGTTTCTTGGTTTTAACCATTGATTAAAAAAATATTTTGAGATAATGAATAAATTCTTTTTTTAAATCTTTTAACACTAAAACTAATTTCTTGAAAAATTTATAAGTCTGGAAAGCTCTTACCAACTCAGTCATACTGACTTACCTTGTGTGGAAGGATACAATTTTATCATTGTAGTTTGAAAACTTTACAAGTCTGGAAAGTTCATGCCAAATCAGTCATACTGGCTTTCTTAGTGTGGAAATACTCAATTTTATCATTGTAGTTTGAAATATTTATAAGTCTGGAAAGTTTATGCTGAATGAGTCATTCTGAAACAATCTTTAATGCTGTCAAACAAACTTTAATAGTGATTTACTTAGTGTTGAAAGAAACAGCATTATCATAACCTCTATATGTAAAGTTATAAGTATCACAATACCTACTTTCCATTGGCCAACTTTCAAATTGTAGAGATTTTAGGCACTTCCTGTAGGTTGAAGCAAGAGGGTCTGTTTCACAGCTGAGAGAACACTGGTGAATAACAAGGTTTGGTGTTAAAACATACAATTCTATGAAAGTGAATTTTATGTATCATTCCCTAATGATTTGTAACTTGAAAGTAAACAACAAATCAATTATTAATGTTTTTTTTCTTGACAATTAATATGGAACACTTGATGTTCTCTTAGTAGCAACTTTCTGATTACCAAGGTTTAGAATTTTTTTAAACTGAGAACTATATGAAAATGGCAATGCCTTTTAAAATAATTTGTTTAAACATTATTTATGTTTGATATTACACACTTCAAACTTGAATGTCATATTTCTGTACCTACAACTTACCTCAGAAATAAGTGATTCAGTGGAGCCATTCTTTAATTCTGGCACCACACCATTAGCTATATGTCCATGCTTCTGCAGCTCCTCTGGAAAGATACATTTTCATGAAGCTGTTGCTGTCTCACTAATTAGCATAAGAGTTTTATTCACAATTCCAAATTAACTTTTGAAAAAGTTCTTTACTAATATTTGCTACAGATCAAATAGCCAAATCTGATTTACTAGCATGATTTTGTAGAAAAACAACAAAAACAACAAAAAAAAACCACCATAAGTAATTAATTGTATCTATTCTGGTACAAATAAAATTTGAAAATTTATTTGATCATTTAATATTTTTACAAACTAATTGTAAACTTACCAGAAATGAGGTCATAGAGGTTGGAGAACTCCCTTCAGAAAACAGAATGATTAAGTATTAACATTCAACACATTTTTACAGTAATAAACAGAGTACACACTCACACACAAAAACTGTGATTGTTGTTTTAACAGTCACAGTGCAGTATGTAGTTTCACAATTAACCCACCTGAGCAAAGTTTTGTATAACTCAACACAAACTAACCTGTGTTTAGTATATACAAAACTGTCATTTCACTAATGTACTTCAGCAAAGTTTTGTGTAACTCAACAAAAATTAACCTGTGTTTAGTATATACGAAACTGTCATTTCACTGATGTAGTTCAGCAAAGTTTTATTTCATACATACTAAACACAGGTTAGTTTGTGTTGAGTTACACAAAACTTTGCTGAACTACATCAGTGAAATGACAGTTTTCGTATATACTAAACACAGGTTAGTTTGTGTTGAGTTACACTTTTGTAATGAATCATAACATCAGTTACACATAATATTCCTCATCTGGGTTAATGAAATGACTGTTTCGTACATACTAAACACGAATTAGTTTGTAATAAGTTACACAAAACTGCTGAAGTACATTAGTGAAATGTCTGTTTCATACATACTAAACACAGGTTAGTTTCTAATGAGGTACACAAAACTTTGGTGAAGTACATTAGTGAAATGACTATTTTGTACACACTAAATAGGTTAGTTTGTAATGAGTTACACAAAACTTTGCTGAAGTACATTAGTGAAACGTTAGGAATGTATTAAACATAAGTTAGTTTGTATTGAGTTACACAGAACTTTGCTGAAGTACATTAATGAAGTGAAAATACCTGAACTGTTTTGGGTATTGCTGACCAAAAAAATTAGCTATACTATTCTGAAGTTAAAAACCTGAACAGATTGTAAAGAAATTTTGTAAGAAAATAAAAACCTTTATGGAATAATTGTTTTATTTTCTTAAATATAAAAAGTGCTTCTACTCATCCTTTTTTTTCAACCTTCTCAAATCAACCATTTTGATTACTAACTGTTAACATTTTATATAAAGGATAACACTAGGTATAATATATAGCATCTAATTAATTACAAGTGATATCAAAAACCAATCCCAATATCTAAAATTTGAAGAATACTCAGAAATGGAATTTTATAAGTTTTATAGAACATTATTTAGTTTTTTAATAAGTTACATCTCACATAAAACTCTACTGTTCTCCAAGTCGCTCCAATTTACAGCAAGGATACAATACAAATTAAAGAATGAAAGGGCAAAAAAAATGCTTAAAATAATCCACAAATAGCTGAGAATATTTAACCCTTTCTGGACTGGAAAAAGCCTTTCAAATGTCAATAAATATTTTACAATAAATAATTTGTAATTTATAATATTTATTTAGTGTAACTTGCAAAGAAAAATGCAAAGAATGTTCAAACTTACTTACTGAAGGTTATGCACTTATAGATTATTAAAAGTATTTTTTGCCCATCTCAAAACACAGGTTTTATAAAACTATCATCTCTTGAGAATACAACTAACCAAGTCTTGTTTCTCTCTTGATTTGGCTCCTCTGTCTTATGATTTATCCATTTACATCAAAGGGGTAGAACAACTACTAATGAATCAGAACAGCTTTGAAAATATTCAAAGTATAAATACAATTGGATGAAACAGATTATAAACTATTTATGTTAATGTAAAGTTGAATAAAATGGTGTGAGAAGTATTGTATGGTTTTGAGAGAAAGTGATTAGATGTAACTCCTGTAGAGAACAACAATATAATTTTTAGTTCGACGTTCAGAAGACTTCTGAACAAAGCACAGATTTGAGAATTTTGTAATAGTATCTTCAGACATTCTTTTGATTCTTTAAATCACACTCATTTTAATGTTAGTTGTTTGAAAATTATGGCTATTTTCTTCTATGAGAAGACATTAAGCCTTATTAGATCTAGAGGGTACATATGCGACAGCAAAATATTCCAGTGTCTCGAGTTAGTATTTACTGAATATTATTGTTAAGTTTATTATATTGAAACAAGACACAAAGGAAATAATTTATAATTTATTGAAAACAAAGTATATTTATTATATGCAGAGGCATCATTAGGGACTGGCACATGGGCCCTGTGTCCCGATTCTATTTGACAGTGCCCTGAATGCCCAGTTGGTGTTTTGAAAAATCAGAATAGAAAACCATGATCAATATCATAGTAAAACACCAAATATTCCAGTGCCTATGGGCCTGAGCCCAAAATCTTTTAAGCACCTAAAAAAACTTCTGATTATATATAAAATTATCCTGACCAAGAATATTGTTACTTAGCCTGACCTAACACCAATTTGACAGGTCAGTTCTTATATGACCAATAACCATTTGTCAATTTATGTGGTGTTTTTACAATTTATAGCCAGAAGTGGTGACCATTGCAGTTGGTAAGATACGTTAATAAAAATCATTATGTGGTGTTTTTACAAGTTATAGCCAGAAGTAGTGACCACTACAGTTGGTAAGATATGTTAATAAAAATCATTATGTGGTGTTTTTACAAGTTATAGCCAGAAGTAGTGACTTCTACAGTTGGTAAGATATGTTAATAAAAATCATTATGTGGTGTTTTTACAAGTTATAGCCAGAAGTAGTGACTTCTACAGTTGGTAAGATATGTTAATAAAAATCATTATGTGGTGTCCACTGCAGTTGGTAAGATAATATGTTAATAAAAAAAAGTCTTATACAACAAAATTTTGTACATTTCATGAAAATGATAGAAAAACTCCATTAAATTATATTGCTTTTTTCAAGTTTTTTATTTTTAGTAAATTTGTCCTAAATTTCATGTAACTTGGTTTAATATTTCCACTTTGAGAAGGAAAAAAATCAACAAATATCAGTGACACTTTTCCTAGTTCAGAAAGGGTTAATAAAAATCAAAGGATATCAGTGACCCTTTTCCTAGTTCAGAAAGGGTTAATAAAAATCAAAGGATATCAGTGACCCTTTTCCTAGTTTAGAAAGGGTTAACAAAAATCAACGGATATCAGTGACACTTTTCCTAGTTCAGAAAGGGTTAATAAAAATCAAAGGATATCAGTGACCCTTTTCCTAGTTTAGAAAGGGTTAACAAAATCAACGGATATCAGTGACACTTTTCCTAGTTCAGAAAGGGTTAATAAAAATCAACGGATATCAGCGACACTTTTCCTAGTTCAGAAAGGGTTGACAAAAATCAACGGATATCAGTGACACTTTTCCTAGTTCAGAAAGGGTTAATAAAAATCAAAGGATATCAGTGACACTTTTCCTAGTTCAGAAAGGGTTAATAAAGAGCATAAGGATATTTCTGCTTAAGTTATTTACACTGTGATTTGAGAAAAATATTTCTCACTTTGCTAACTTTTCTTCAGAATTGCCTCCCACAGCTTTCCTTTTTTCTGCTGAACCTGATCCACAAATTGAGTCCTCACTGCTTTCCTCTTCACTGCTTATGGGCATGCCAGGTATGCACCCATTAGCAGCAACTTTACCCACATGACGTAAAATGCAAGAGGCCTAGAAACAAAATAATAATAATAAGGCTTAGATTTACTATGATTCCCATCATTAACATTTAATATTTTTAAGGTCAGAATAGAAATTACAGCAGTCACACTTCATAACACACTTACATTTATTCTGGACACAATTCATCGTACACTGCCAAGTTTGCTGTTCGCACTTCTTAACATGCTCCTAAAGTTTTATCAACACATATCCTTAATACAACTCTAGGTTTTTACACGTCTTTATACACTTCTTGTTCTTTCGTTTTCTTCGTATAAAGCTATATATATTATATATTTCTTATCAACATCAAAGTTAATATTTCTAATATTGTCAATATATATACTGTATGAATGCAGTGGCATTTCTCTTCATAAACTACAGTACTTTAAAAAGTTAACACTCATCTAAATATTATATATATATATATTCAAAATATATCCCCACAAATAGAGAAGATTCTACTTACTTGTTGTGCTAATCTACCTAGGAACTGGTGGATACTCTGTTTTTGGTTAGGGAGAGGTCCAAATAAGGGTACTAAAGTTGGCTGTTGGGCTGAAAAAGTCATTATACATTCACAGATTGAACAATACATGTTAACAACCCTACAAGCTATAAATCAGTTAACTTGGGTTCAATTTATGGTATAGAAAGTGTCATCAAACACTCAAAAATTAAATACTGCTATGTCACTGACAACTGTCTGTAAACTTAGTTGGGTCAATAAATACCTGGCTGAGATCTATACATAGAAGATTTAGTCTTGCACATGTTAGGCTCAGGGTCACCAAGAAGAGGGGGGGGCATCGTGGTCAAAAGGGCTCCCCAAAATACAAATTACTGTTCACTAAAAACTGGAAAACAAAAGTGAGCCAGAAAAAAAAATCAATGAAAAACAAAGAATATAAGTTATACAAGATAGGGCACCCTAAAACATGACATTTTTTTAAAACTGTCTTCATAATTGGCATTCGGTGAAGTGCTAACTGGTGAGTACTTTTCCCTTGAATTTTATAAGTTTTGTTTTCACATGAAAAAAAAATCACTCCAACAAGTTGATTAGAATTACTGAACACATTATTTATAAAGCTGAATAATAAAATACCTATCTATATATATGTGTACCCTGTAGAGGGAAGGGGAGGATGTAAAGTTTGTTCTAAGCCCCTGCTAACCTCTGGACAGCTCTGATTAGGCTTGGATCTATCCATATTACACCCATAAGAATTAGGGTACAGATATAAGGTTCACATTTCTAAAAATACTGGATGAATTTAAGCATGTAAGAGTTAAGACTACAGATATAAGAGTCATATAAGGTTTAGATCTATATGAACTGAAAGGTTTATATGCATAAGAGAGTAATCTGATCCTTTTTTGAGTAATGAATTTTGAAAAATATGACTGAAAAATCATGCATATTCCTTATGTCCTTTAATAGTGACAATCAAATGCAAGTTAATAAAACTAAATCTATCAGTAAGTACAATACTACTTTGAGAGAGGAATCTTGCTTTTTCATATTCATATTTAAGGCTAACATTTCTTGGCATGAACATCAAACTTCAACAATATCCATGTACTTGAAAGTAAAGTCTGTTATAGATTTAATATAACAAATAATGTTACTTCACATATTTTGTCTTGTTATTGTTGAGTAAGTTTTCAAAGACCAAACTGGTTATTGGGAGTTTTTCTTTCTTACTAATCCTCACAGAATTTTCCAAGATGAGTCACAAGAATTTCTGTACAAAAGAGATTAAGCAGAGTACCTTTTCACTGCTCTTCTCTTACAGACTCATCTACCTGTCTGGATGTTTTTTACTGAGCTAAAGTTGCATTTCATAAAATCAGTTGCAGTTACGTAGCAATATTTGTACATAACTGAAAAAAAAAAAAGAGTAAAATAGAGGAATAATGGACAGTAAATATTTTGTAAAAGAAAAAAGCCTCAAGGCAAAATCTAGACTACAATTTAAACTTTCTGTTTCTCTAATCTACTTAATATGGGGCTGTCAAGTATTGTTGTATTTTCCCGCCATGTTGCTGTTAGCTATGTTAATCAAGGTTTGAGATTTGATGGCACATAGTACTTATTGTAATTTCATGTTTCTTAATTTTATACATCTTAAATTAACAAAATCATACCCTTCTTACAACAAACACAAAGATCTGAGTCTTTACAGATTGATGTTTAAAAAACAAATGGTTGAAGAAGAATTTAAACACTGGTAATGACTGATACATGCTCGAAAGGATATTCCAAAATTAAGCAATGGACATTCAACTATATGATTGTTATTTCCAGCTGCTGATCTCAACTCAGGTTAATCAATTAATAAAAAAGTACATTTAACCATTTCTTTGTGACTCTCATGACCTTTTCCAGTGTCACATTCAAAATTTTATTAACTCTCTTGCTATGGAGTTGGTACATTACACTGACCTCATGACCCCAAAGTAACCATCAGAGTTTCTGTATCATAACTTCTAACATTTTTTGTGTATCTTCAATAAATTTGGCAAGCTTTCAGTAAACATTACAAGGCTTTTGTAGACAAAAAGAAATCAGAATTTTTAATTAAGTATTTTTCTTAAAATTTTGTCCATGAATATATGGAGTCAGTGTGTTGACTGCTCCAAGTGCAAAGTGATTTTTCATGTTATGTTTAAAAATACTTTTTCCATCAGAAAATTTGCAAATTATATTTGCATAATCTCTAAAACCTCCTAAATAAATATCAAATGTTTTTTTTCAAAAAACCTTACATTTTATCTGCTGTTTTCTCAAGCCAAACTCTATACAGGGTCAGTTAATTCAACCAACCATGTAACTACCATACAAAATTAAGAAATAAATCTAAATTACCCCTTTTTTCTTTTTAGAATGACTGCAAATAGTAACAGGAAATCACAATTGATTAAAGTAGATTAAAGCTACTAAAATTATACATCTGTTTATACTTAATTATATTCTTTTATTGCCCTTTGAACCATGTCTAACTAAGAATCCCAACACACACGTGGCAAATTGCTTGGCAAACATTGCTCACTTTACTGTATTGATTTACATAATGCACAAGCTGCCCACAAGCATACCTCATGAAGAAGTTTTATTATGATTTTCCATTATCATACCTAATCTAACCTAATAAGTTCCTAATTTTTACATTTGAGTTACTATTATAATAATAGATAAAGAAAACACATGAAAAACAAGAAATATAGTACTTACCTTGGTCATGATGTTATTTAAAAATGAAACTTAAGCATACTTTTTATGCTAATAGTACTAATACACAAAATAATTATTTAATTAAATAATGCACCTAAGAAAACAGAATAATAACACACACAAAGCCCCATAAATATCAATTTTTTTCTGGCTTTAGCTATGTGATAAGAGCCATTAAAAAATCAGCTAAGCTTGTTGAAATGATTTCCGTGAGAACAAATTTGAAACTGAACCAGAAAACGATGTAATATAAAACATCATTTGATAGATTAAAACTTTGGGCTTCTGTTGGTTATAAGTAATATAGTATAAAACATCAGAGAGAGAGAGTTATTGGCAATTTGTGCAAGAGAGGATGTGACAGGTGAGCATTGTAAGTGGGTATGATTTTCTAGTTTATGGTTCCACAAAAAATAATATTGAAGGCTATAAAAATTATGCTTTGGCTGAGTAACAGCTATATTATAATGAGTAATTTACATTAAATTTTGTACTTCTCGGTGGAGTAATAAATAAATTACACAAGAAGGAAGACCTAGAAAGCAAATACCACAATTTGCACACTATGGAGAGATTGAGGATTTTTAAAAATATTTCCTAATAAAATTAAGAACTTAAAACTTATATAATATTAAAATTTGGTTTATTAACTATGTAGTTTAATTACATTTTAAATTTAATTTTCTAAAATGTCATGACATGCACACTTTGAAGTGCCTGTAGCAAAAGGGTTAAATAAGTTTATCAATGTATGTCAATAAATCTGGCACGAAAACATAGTTTATAATCAATTTTTTTTTTTTTGTACTTCTTATTAAAAATCAGATAATAAATCTCAAACTTTCATTTCTTCTGCATCATGTGATGCATCTGAGTTCTCCACTTTAGAATTCTACAACTTCTAATGCAGACTGGTGCAGTTTCCAAACAATTAGAAACATTAACTATGCAAGTAAGAATGTAAAATTTCAACCTCCTACCTTCTTTACTTGCTGGGATATCAATAAATTTGTCAAAACTACCACAGAAGCCTCTATGCCCCTCTATCTGACTTTTGAGATTGTTTGCTAATCAACTTTGCATGGTTGACAGACATATCTATAACCTTTATAAACATTACAACTCTGCATTCAGGTTCTCTGCCATTATCCGTTAGTCAACGAGAATTGTTTGGTTTATGTTGATCAGATTTGGTGCTATGAACAGTAATGGATGTTTTTAACCTATTTATAACTTACTTAGAAAGCCAGATAAATTATAGTAATTTTGAGACATTCTATTCTAGCACCCAACATATTCTTGGGTCCTAAAATGCATATTTGATAGCTACATCATTTTTTATACACCCAAATTTGTGACACTAAATCATTTTGTAAGGTATATTTTTTACTTGCTGTTATATGTTCTTTAACAAAAGTAATTAAAAGTAAAAAGTTTCTTGAGCACCAGTGCAAAATACGACACTAATAGGCTTCTGCTGTGATTTATCACTTTTATGCAAGGATTACTCTTAAAATGGTACAAACTACAGCAATAAAATCATAAAAATTAAAATAAATGTGAAGAAGGTTAACAGTTAAAACTGTTAAAATAAATGCTTTGGAACTTTCTGATCAACACTGGAGAGGAATAAATGGTATTATCAATTTCATTTTATATTTTTCAACTTTTCATTACACTGTACATTGAAGATTTTGCTACAGTTAGTGTTAGAGTAGAGAAAATAAAAGATAAAATATATAAAGTTTTACCAAAAAACAACAAAAACTTTTGATATTCATTTAGCAGATTCTAGAGATTTTGCAACTGAAATATAAAAACTGTATGATGAAAAGAAGTACTTACATTCTTAGCACAAAAATCACCCTTTGCTCAGATGGATTCAGTAAAGGTTTCAGAAACTCGCAACCAAATCTTTAGTAAAAGCACTTTATTTAAAAAAATCTGATTTTGTGTACAATAAAATTGTAATGTTTACTAAAAGTTTGCCAAATACTGTGAAGATACACTTAGTAACTTCATTTATAGTATGTACAGTTTCAAAATTCCAAGGATGGCCAAATTGGAAAACTTTTACCTTGGAGGCAATATGGGCAAGCTTCCAGAAATGGAAATATTTAGGTCTAGAGATTTTTCCCTGCCTTTATTCTCAAAAGTAAATACCATGAAACAAGAAAAACAAAATACAGACATACCTATTTCCTTGAGTAACTGTATTATTGCTTTGTATATCTAAAGGAATAAAAGTTAAATCAGACAAGAGAGAGAGAATGACCAGAGAGACAATACATACATAACAAAGACAATCAGAATAAGGACAGAAAATTTTCACAATATTATCAAGAAACCTTAGTTCATCACATTGTACTGCCATTTAAAAAATAAAACAAATTTGTATAGAATGCTTTTTTTTTCTTTGTTGAAAATTTTCTGCTAATAAGTGAAAAAATCCCATACAAATATAAAAGTATATTTTGAAGAGTAATGAATAATGACTAGTCCTAAAAGAACATTTTGTTGAATGACCAGTAATGACTGATCCTAATAGAATATTTTATTGAATAAAGAATACTGATTGGTCACAGTGGAATATTTTGTTGGATAAAGAATATTGACTGGTTCTATTGGTATACTTTGTTGAATAAGGAGTACTGATTGGTCTTAACAGAATATTTTATTGAATAAAGAATACTGATTGGTCACAGTGGAATATTTTGTTGAATAAAGAATACTGATTGGTCACAGTGGAATATTTTGTTGAATAATGAATACTGTCTACTCCTTTACATGTGCAAGTAAATAATGAGACCAGATTAACAAATCTTCTATACATATATACACATTTGGTTAGTAACAAACTTGCCTGAAGTTAAATCTTTCCTGCCTACCGGCACTACAAGGCCACTTTTCATCTACTCTAAACTGTTACTAAGCCAGTAGTTATACAGATCTTTTCAAAATGGAAGGGCTATTATTATCATACAGTGTTTACAATACAAAACATTCATTCCAAAAATTAATGAACTTAAATAAATAGATAAGACTGGCAACATCACAAAGTTGCAGAACAATCAAATGATGATCTGAATTTCTTGATCAGCTTTTAAGTAAACCACTACACTAGTTTATTAGGCTGTTAAATATCCCCTTCACAAAAGTTTTCTCTCATGTAAAAGTTCCCAAATGTAATCAGTGTGTTTTAAATCTATCATTTGCTATTTTAAGCTGTTATATTTAAATAACTAAACTAAACAATATTTATAACCTGTTCCTATTCACTTTAGAAAAACAAAAATAATTAGCATATTGACCAACAGATGATTCTACTGTAACAATGACTCAAGTTATTTGTAAATTTAATATAACTTTACCACTACTTCTTCAGTTCTAGATATTAACTATGAATTATTTTATAGTTTATGATTCAGCTGCTGCCCTATGAAAAGTACTGAGAAAGACTGTGGTAGAAGATGGGATACAGTCATTCTAAACATCTCCATGAAAATGGCAGCAGCATAGAAGGTGAAACATAGGATATATACTAGTTAGTAATAAGTATCTGGTATTAAAAAAACTAATATGTAGTTCGACTTAGGCAATGACCACCACAGCCCTACCATAACAACTTAAATTCTAAACTTGTTTCTGCATCCAGAGAAAAAGCTATTAATCTAACTGGCCACAAGCAGCAACAGTTGTGAGAAGAAACTTGAATTCATATTTCAATCTAACACATCATTGGCTAATTTTCAAACTTGCTGCTGATTGGCTAAAAGCAGATGCAGTTGTAAGAAAACTATCAAGTTAGCATTATCTAGATAGGTAATAAATATATACATATTAAACCTGTCTTCACTATTAATTAGAGGGGAAAAACTATAATATGGGAAAAGAAAACTAACTGTGACTTTGTTTATGATTCAAAACCAGTTATTACTGAAAGTTGTAACAAAGTGCTGAAAAATCCCAGTCTCTGAGTTATACACTAAACTTAAACTGCTACTTATACAGGTGTACAATATAGAAGTACACTAAAACTGAAATACTTACCCCCGTGTGTCTTGAAATCTCCACAAATGATTCTTGTTCAAGATATTGCTGAGAATGAAAAACATGCCAATGTCTGACAGGAAACTCTTTCATTTATACACAAACTAAACTGTTTAGTTCGAAAAGTTAAGTTTCTAGTAACTTGTGATAGAAAGAACAAGTATTTTTTATGTTCATTATTTCAGTTAATAAAACAGATTCTAAAAGAAACCATGATAAAAGGAATTTATTAAGAATCTAAAACTGATAGACAGATTGAAAATGCTAACACTACTCAACAAAAAACCATCATAAACATTTCAGAACTAAATAAAATAAATCTGTTAGATAGACAGCTAGTGACATCTGTTGTTTATAAGTATATTCTTTGTCATGTTTCATTAAGCAGTAGTTAAATCAGGATTTTGAAGGAGGTGGAACTTCCTATTGCAATTCTTTGACATAAAGCAGGATTCTGTTCCACCCCAATTTAACCCCGGGTTGTATCAGTCTCGGGAGCAAACGACTGGTGTTTCGTGTATTTTGCAACTAATGACCTGCGGCACTTCTCTTGTTGAAATTAAAAGGCCATATTTCTTGTACCATTTTTATCTTTTAATT